TGCGATTTTCGTACCGCTCCCAGATACAAAGACAGAAACCGTCGTTCGAAAGTTTATCGAACGTGTAGTCGCATATCACTGGCTACCAGACGCTATTACCTCTAATAGAGGCAGCTAGTTTGTGAGTGCACTATGGACAAGACTATGCGAGCTTCTGAAGATCAAACGGAGACTGTCGACAGCCTACCACCCACAGACAGACAGTGCAACAGAAAGGATGAACAGCGTCTAGGAGACCTACATCCGAACGTTCACGAACTGGGCTCAGAATGACTAGGCACAGCTCTGCCCAATGGCCCAGATCGCGATCAATGGTAGAAACGCAACGTCGACTGGAATGTCACCGTTCTTCTTACAGCATGGGCACGAAGTGGAGCCGCTGTAGCTAGAGCTAGACAATAAAAGGCAACAGCGGAAACCAGCCAAACAGCTTTCGGATGAGCAGAAGGCAGCAGAGATCGCGGTTAAGCTACAACAAGCCGTAGAACTAGCCCAAGCAGGCATAGCAGTTGCTCAACAAGAACAAGAGAGACAGGCGAACAAGACTCGGAGAGAAGCACAGAGCTACCGAGTAGGCGACAAGGTATGGCTGAAGCTTGATCAGCAGTACAGCACGGGGCGAAGCTCTAAGAAGCTCGACTGGAAGAACGCTAAGTACACAGTGGTAAAGGTAATAGATAGCCACTCAGTTGAACTAGACACGCCGCCAGGACCGCACCCTGTTTTCCACGTTGACAGATTAAAGCTTGCTAGCAATGACCCGCTCCCGAACCAGGTTCAGGATGACTATCAGCCACAACCGCTGCAGGTGGACGGAGAAGATGAATGGGAGGTGGAGGACATTGTAGCAGAAGAGGTACGCCGCCGTGGGAGAGGGCGTAAGCTGTACTACGAGGTGAAATGGAAAGGTTTCCACCGAACGACGCTCGAACCGGCGGAGCTACTAGAGGACGTTGAAGCAGTGGACCGATGGGAAGCATTCACGGAGGCTGCGCGAGACAGCGAAGGCCGCCTCCCAGAAGGGTTTCGAAGAGGCGACGCAGTGCCGTCCTAAGGAGGGGGGTATTGTAACGGGCTGAACGCCCTTTTGGATGGCTCCTCGATGGAATCTCGGTCAAGCAGCAGACGCCGGGTCTTGCTCTACAACCCGGCATCTGTGCGACGCCTGAGCGGCGCTCAGACGACGCGCTCAGACACTCGGCGTAACCCTTCTCCGACATGTAAATAAACACCACGCAAGTAGATTCCATAGCTCTCTATCGAATACAACCTCTTGTATACCTCGCGATTGCTCCACGGAGCGCAGCCCCTTACATATGTAGCTATTAGTAGCTTACACCTACTAGCACACTAGTGTTATAGTATTCCGCTAGTCTAGAATTTCACGAGTCTGAATTACATATGCGGGTATGAAATTCCTAGATACATACTATAGTCCTATACTAGAGTTACCGTTAGAAGGAATAGCTGCGCAATATTATTAAATTAGAATCTAGTTAGACTTCTCTACTATCACCTAAGCTATGCGTACCTATATCAAGAATTCTAGTAGGCTGCTTAAGAGCAAATATTATAACTTTCTTGTCTAATTATTATGATTACTGAATCGAAAATATACTCTATATACTCTATTCGCATACAGTTAGTAAGTGCGGTAC